GAGGGGCATATTGGGGACCTCAGTGAAGAGGGGTAAAGTGGTAAGAGGTAAAGCCAGGGAGGAGAGTGGACTGGCTCATGGCTGGAACAGGTGAAGGGCCAGTGGGCAGCTGGCCTGGTTTGAGTGGGCGGTGAGGGACTGGAGAGAAAGGCAGTTCCTGATGGTCCCCTCCCCAGGGGCTGGCTTTCCTCTGGTCCTTCCCTCCCAATGACGGCGTCTTCATCAAGGCCGCAGCGTTGGGCTCTGGGTCCACACCTCTGGTGCTAGGCCTGCCTGGAGACACGTCGGGGACTCTGTGAGGGACTGCAAGCTTGTGGTGGCAGCTGCCACTCGGACCCCGGAGCCTGGCTTATACCACTGCTCCGAGGGCTGGTGCTGCTCCTGCCGAGGTGGATGGATCTGCTGCAGGTGGGGAGCCCTTGGCATCTCACCAGTGAGCATCAGTGGCTGTCCCCGGCCAGAGGCTGTGCTCAGTGGCCAGGCATGTGACCGGACAAATGCTGTGTCTAGGTAGAGGCCAAGCAGCAATGGCCTTCTCCTCCAAGGTCTGCAGAGCAGGGCTGTCCCATGGGGCACAGTCCTCCGTCACAGTGGGCCTCGCTGCAGACCAGGGACACCAGGCCAGTGGGATCCCAGCAGGTCTGGCTGTCAAGCCTTCCTCCCACAGACAGTGCCAGCTGCCCTTCCCTCAGCATGGTCACCTGGGACAGACCAGCTCCCTGTGTCCTCTGTGCTGAGTGCTGAGATTTTCCCTCACCTAGACCTGAAGGAGGGAAATTGGAGGACCATCAGGCCTGGCATGTAGGGTCAGCCCTGCTTCCATCTCTATCTCTCTGCGCTGCATACATCATGATTCCGCTGTCCCAACCCATCAACTGTGCCTTGTGAACTCCCTGGTGTACTTCTGTCATTTCCTCTTCCCTGTAGGTATTTTCAAGGCATCCTGGTAATGCAGTGGTTAAAGTACTCAGCTGCTTACCCATAGTTCAAACCCATCAGTTGCTCCATAGGAGAAAGGCATGGTTGTTTCTGTCAAGTTTTCCAATCTCAGAAACTCCAACGGGCAGCTCTACTCTGTCCTGTAGAGTTGCTCTGAGCTGGTTTTCATCTTTGGTTTAATTGTCTAACTAAAGGGTGGTGGTTTTGTGTCATTGTCTGGTTATTCTAAGGTCTGAACAACCTGTGGCTCTTTCTGCTGGTTCATGCTTAGGGTTCTTTGTTTCTCTGTGTTATTGGTTCTTACGGACTGTTGTCCTAGAAAAAGAGAATTTGTGAGACTCCTTCCAGGTCTAGAATGACCATCTCTAACTCATGAGAGTTTATGAGGGGTACTACCAATGTAGGGGAGTCCTGGTGTGGCGCTGTGGGTTAATGCGCCAGACTACAAAGCCATTTGAACTGCAGGGTTGGCAGTTCAAACTCATCAACTGCTCCTTGGAAACCCTATACAGGGTCTCTATGGGTCAGAATCAACTCAACGGTACTTAACAACAACAACCAGTGTGGGAACCCCTACTGCCAAGTTCTCAGCTTGAAGGTCTCTGGGTTCCCATACAGTAGGATGTAGTCACTATCTGTGGAATAGCTGACCATGGCCATAGCTTATTTTTACAGATGTACCTGCAACTCCTGTGGGGATGGCCATGAATATGGCCCATCCTGCGACACACAGGAGTTAGCATTGGACTACTAACTGAAAAGTTGGTGGTTCACACCCAGCAGCTACTCTGGGAGAAAGATGAGACAGTCTGCTTCCATAAAGATTTAGTCTTAGAAATGCTGCGGAGCAGTTCTACTGTGTCCTCTAGGGTCACTGTGAATTAGAATCAATTGGTGGCAGTGGGTTTGGTTTTGATTCTGGTTTGGACCCTGTGAGGTTCCCTTTCACAGGTGGACCCTGAATCTTGTCTTCTGTCTCCCTCTCCCCTAAGGCCACCAGAGCCCAGCCCCAGTCTGCCCAGATTAGCAGATGTGGAGGATGGAGTGACTGCTGTACTAGACTTTCCTTTTTGGGTCTTCACTTTCCCTGAGCTGTTGGTCCCAATCCACATGACCTTGGCAGTTCTGTGCTGCTTTGGGGATGTTTGCAGGCATCCTGAGTTATTTTCACAGGCAAGGTTGGTCCAACAATCCGTTAGCCATTATTGGAGTCATAAGTCACCATGGGATGGTAGCCCCTGGTGGTCATGTCTAGGGGCACTCATGGGTGGGAGCCCAACCTGCCCCTCTGGTCTCTGAGCTCCTAGCACTTGTCACAAGCCTGATGGGGCTGAGGAGCAGGATTGTGAGTGGTTCTCTGTGTGAACAGGTGACAGCTTGGGCAGTGTCTTAGTTCCCTAGTGCTTCTATAGCAGAAATAGTCTAAGTGGGGGCCTTAACAAACAGACATTTGTATTCTCACTTATTAGGAATCTTGGAGTGGCACTGTAGGATAAGCACTGGGCCAAAAGGTCAATTTGAACCACAAGGTTGGTGGTTCAAATTCACCAACCACTCCTTGGAAACCCTATACCAGGGTCACTGTGAATTGGAACCGACTCAATGGCACTTAACAACAGAAGGCTAGAAGTCTGAATTCAGGATGCCAGTTCTAGGGGAAGGTTTCTATCCCTGTGGGCTCTCTTGTTGTTGTTGTTGTTAAGTGCCATGGCTTTCTCTCTCTGTGGGCTCTGGAGAAGGTCCTTGTCTCTTCTGAGACCATTTCCTGGGCAGTTTCCATGTGGCTTGGCATCTCTTTCCCCCCATCTCTGCTTCTTTCACTCACTTGTTTAATTTCTTTAGTAGTGGTTACGAATCAGGCTGCTAAACTCAAGGTCAGCACTTGGAAACTACCAGCTGCTCCGAGGGAGAAAGATGAGGTGTTCTGCTCCCATAAAGATTTATAGCTTTGGAAACCCTGCACAGGGTCGCTATGGGTCTGGACCGACTCCACAGCACACCACCACCGTTTACATTGATTGACTCAAAGCACACCCTCCAGTAATCTAGCCTCATATATATATCAAAGATCATGCTTTCTCAAAAGGGACGAGAACCACAGGTTTAGAGGCTAGGATTGACAACATATACTTAGCAGAGGTGGGGACACGCATACACACAGTTCAAACCATGATAGGCAGCAACAACCACTCCTACTGGCCAGTGCTCTGGTGATAGCAGCACAACTCCTGGTATCCACTAGTGCTGCCTTTAGCTCCAGGCTCTGTAAGGGACAGTGGCTAACAGCTCATTGAATGGCGCTATGCGTCCCTTAGCACCCTGGGCTCCAATAGGCTGCATGCATCACCATGGGGACAACTTGCCTGAGTGGTCCGCTGAACTCATTGCTGGACACCATGCCCATGGGGAGTCCAACACCAAGTGGTGTTGGGGAGGGACAGTGGGTGGGTGGATGGCTGGATGAGCACTTGGCCCCATGTTTTCTCAACCAGCTCTGGGTCCTGGAGATACTGATCTATCCCTCAGCTGCCCCAGACTAGGGCGGGACAGCAGTTACCAGGTGTTGGTGGAATGTAGAGTGAATTACTCAAAGTCCCCCATCTTTAGGCCAGAGCAGTAAGTGGAGAGAGGGCTCCAGTGGCCATGGACCTGGTGACATCACTCATGGAAAGCCTGCTTTTCCTTCTGACTTGTGCTGTGGGCTGTGTCCAAGGGGTCAGCTACAGGTTTTACCTCCTGGGCCTGACATGGGCTCTTAGTGTGACAATGTATGGTTGGGGCAGACTGGCTTTTGTGTATTTGGCTTTCTCTGACCTGTTGTCTGCTGCTCTTCCTGTGAGCAGAATTTGGGGGACCTTTGCTTAGACAGTGGTGGTATCCCCACGCAGTGTCCTGCCCTTCCTGTCCTGTGTGGCCACTCTAAGGCCGGATGACAGAGCAGGCAGGAGCAGCCCTGGCCCATGTGAAAATGGAGAGACACACATATGTACACACAACACACGGTGCAAATAGAGACACGTGCACACACAATACACAATGAACAGAGACCCATGTACACACAACACATGGTGCACACAGGGACACATAATATGCATGTACCCCAAACACAGATTGTTCATGCACACACACATACATGTACGTGCAAGCACAGACATACCTAGTTATAAATGTACACAGACACACACATGCACACATGTGCACTGGTCACCCTTCAACACCACCTACCGCTTCTCAGTGGGCTCCTCGAGGCTCTCTCAGTATTTGAACCGCTTCCCGGCTGCCAGAACTGAGTGACACCTCCCTTGGGGCTCTGTGCAAAGGCTTAGCAGGTGTGGGCAATGTTGCTAGGCCATGAAGTACAAGGCAGAGTAGGGAGGAGAGATGCCCTGAGCCCATGCTCCCCCAGCACCCTGAGCATGTCTATGGAGCTTGGATGCTTGTTCTTGCCTGGGATGCACTCGCTGCATCCCTGCCTGCTGGTTCAGTATGTGCAGGGTGCTTGGTTCACAATGGCCTGGAGAGCATGTTTATGGGGTTCTGCGTGGATGTGGGCTATAGAGAAGCCCAAGGTGAGTAGGGTGCAGCCTCTTGAGGGGCTGGGGGCTTGCAGGCTGGCCAGGGAAAGAGCAGGCGGTCTGGATGATGGCATGGAGCCAACCCTGCAGCAGCCTGTGACAGAGCTGTTCTCATGCCATGCCCCCTGCAGTGCCTACTGGCTGGTTCTGGTCATGGCTCTGGGTGCCTTTTGCCAACAAGCATTAACGAGTGTTAGTGAGGCAGTTCAGTTCATTGCTGGTGTTGCAGGTTCAGGCGGGAGACCTGATGTAGGAAGAAGGTTTAGTTTCTGATGGCAGCCAGCCAGCCAGCACCACAAATGTCCAGGGAGCTGTTCTGTGCGGTACTGTGCAGCGAGCAGTGTGCACTCCCCTCACGTCCAGCCAGCACCAGGGCCAGGGAGCGCTGTGGGCTTGGGAGGCAGGTCTGCTGTTGTTCACTAAACTCATTCATTCTCCCTCTTCCTGCAGACTGTGTGACCGTGGGAGGCAGCCCCCAAACGACCCATGTGTATCATCTTCTTTAAGTTTGATCCTCGCCCTGTTTCCAAAAATGCGTACAGGTAACCCCCACTCATCGTATCTGCCCCCCAACCCCTGATTCCCCAGCCCCAAGTGCTATTGTCCATCAGCTCCATGGATGCATTGGGGTGGTGATGCTACTGACTTCTGTCCCATGTGACCAAGAGAAAGAGCAGGTGGTCTGAATGCTGGCAGGGAGTCAGCTGCATAGCTTCCTGGGTGTGGAGGGGGTGGGGCCTGACTATGGATGTGTCTGTTAGCACTGAGTAGTGGGAGGGAGGAGAAGGCGTCATTCCAGCATGTGCAGGCCACATTCTGAACTGGGACTCTGGTCAAGGAGCAAGGTTGGGTGTGGATGGTGAACATGACTCTGACTTGGGCTGGTGGGTTCGTGTGAGATGTCTGGGTGGTGCGGGGAATCTAGGCCCCAGAGTGAGGAATGAAGACTGGACAAGGGAGCTGAGGGATCCAGCTGGAGGAAATGGGAGACCATGGTCAGGAAGGGGTGAGCTGTAGGCCCTGGGCTTTCCATCCTTTGGCATTAATCCACAAAGATGATGAGGCTGGAGGTTTAACTCATAACCAGAGACAACATTTCGGACTGCTCACCAGTGGGATTGGCTAGGAAACTTTCCTTGTCTTGAAATCCACACTAGAAATTATTTTAAACATTTCAACTATGTCTCATGCTTTAGCCCCTAGGCAGGATGACAAGGTCATCATACTGCTTGGCATCATGGCCGAGTTAGCTCATTTAAGCCCAAGACACAGGACACAAGGAGTGTCCACTGCTTCTTTCCTATGATTGGATGGGCATTCTGCCACTGAGAGTGGGTGGGCGCAGGGCAAGCAGACTTCTCCTGAATGACACCCAAAAGAGCAACTGTATGAGTCAGGACTCAGCTAGCAGACAGCATGCAGGTGCCAAATTCACACAGTCATCCTTGTTAAGAGCTGTGGCGTTAGTTCTAACAACAGAATGAAACACTGCCTGGTCCAGTGCCATTCTCACAGTCATTCCTATATTTGAGCCCATTGTTGTAGCCACTGTGTCAATCCCTCCCACTGAAGAGCTTCCTCTTTTTCACTGACCCTCCACTTTACCAAGCATGATGTCCTTCTCTAGGGACTGGTCCCTCCTAAGAACATGTCTGAAATACATGAGATGAAGCCTCACCATCCTTGTAAGGAACATTCTGGGTGTGCCTTTCAGCACAGATTTGTTCATTCTTCTGGCAGTCTGTGGTATTTGGAGATTTCTTCATCATGATGGCAATGGGGTAGTAAAAAGTGAGGAGAGCGCTACAGAACCCAGGTTTAGCAGCTGTGGAGAGCAGCCATGCCCTGTGCACTGGACCCAGTGTGCTTTCTCAGCAGGCACCTGCGGTGTAACTGGCCACACCTACCCCTGGCAGAGATTCAGAGCTTGCTGGAAAAAGCATGGCAGAAAAATCACAGGGGAGCCACTGGAGTCTGCCCTCTAGGATGCTGACAAGTTTTCACAGTGACATTTCACACCTGACACTGCAAAACTGTCCAAACAGGGGAGGGACACTGGAGGATGGTGCAGGCTGCTGGGTGCAGCTTGCTGACATATGCTGTGGGGAGCTGATGTGTGGGAGCCACCCATGTTGCAGAAGTCAGATGCCAGAAAAGCCTGCTGAGAAAGTATACTGGACCTAAGGAAAGAATTCCCTTGTCCTCCTTTCTCTTCGGGAGCACTGTACTTTGAGTTTACCAGCTGCTCTGCGGGAGAAGATGATGCTTTCTGCTCACAGGAAGACGTAAAGCCTCAGAAACCCTATATCGGGTCTTTATGAGTAGGGACCATCTGGATGACATTTAAAGACAACCTCTCTCTTCAGTGCCCTCTAGTGACCAAGTGTAACCTAGTTCCACCTGTGCAGAGATTTTAGCATCATAGTGGATTAACCATTGGACTGCTAACCACGAGGTCAGCAGTTCAACCCCACCAGTTGCTTCATAAAAGGAAGAGGAGGCTGTCAACACCCATTGAGATTTACAGTCTTGGGAAACCTATGGAGCAGTTCTACTCTGTCTTATAGGGTTGCTATGAGTTATAATTTACTCAATGGCAGAGGGGTGTTTTGGGGGGTTTTGTTTTATCACAGAGCAGAAGTCCCTGGGTGGTGTAAATGGTTCATGTGTGTTAACTAAAAGGTTGGCAGTTCCAAGTCCACCCAGAGACACTTCAGAAGAAAGGCCTGGTGATCTATTTCTGAAAAATCAGCCATTGAAAACCCTACAGGCAAATGCCAATCAACAGATGAGTGGATAAGTAAAATGCGGTACAGACATATAGTGGACTATTACTCTGCCATAAAGAAAAATGAGTTTATGTAACATCTTGGAAGATGGATGAACCTGGAAGACGTTGTTGTTGTTGTCAGGTGCCATCTAGTTGGAACCGATTCATAGTAACCCCATGCACAGCAGAACGGAACAATGTCCGATCCTGGGCCAACCTCACTACTGCTGCGATACTTGAGTCCATCAATGATGCCACCTGGCCAATCCATCTCGTTAGGGGTCTTCCTCTTTTTCTCCGACCCTCCGTCTTACCAAGCATGATATCCTTCTCCAGTGACTGTTCCCACCTGACAATATGTCCAAAGTATGAGAGACGAAGTTTAGCCATCTTGGCCTCTAAGGAGCACTCTGGCTGCACTTCTTCCAAAACAGATCTATTGGTTCTATTGGCAGCCATGGCACTTTTAGTATTCTCCTCCAAC